AAGAGTTGGACACAACTGAAACAACTAAACAACAAAAATGAGTTTCTGCTAACTTGAGCTCTTCAGGCAGAGTTTGTTAGATGTTGGAAGCAGTTGGATACAGTAGAAAGGCTCTAAAGTAGAGGTTGGCCTATCACTCCTTTTAAAAAAAAATTACTCAGCACTCCCCTGGAAATCTACTTTCTTTAACCCTTTAATGGTTTTTTTTTTTAAATTTGCATCATTTCAAAAATATATACAATCTTTTTTAAATGACATCTTAAATTTAATAATTTATTGTAAATTTGTGAGTTTTTTCCTGCATTGGAATTTTGATGATGCAATATTGCATCATACAACAGTATAGTGTGGTATTGTAAACAAGTCACTACACACTCATATTCCTGCCAATGCATACTAGACTTCCCGATAATGCACGACACGCTCGCCTGCCAACACTTGCTTGTTAAGACCTGTCAATGGACTTCACCACTAATCCATTTTAACTTGTATTTTGTGTGTTTATTTGGAAAATAATGTAATCACTACGACTTTGACTCTGTTATGCAACAGATGAAACATGTACAAACAGTTTTTCAACTTTTTTTTTCTCTTCTTTTCTTATGCTTCTACCACCTCCTTATATTTATTCAATGCCCCCCAATTGCACCTGACACTATTACCTCCCCCCTGGATCTGTTCCAGCTCCCCCCAGGGGTGGTGTCGCCAACTTTGGGAACCCTTGGCAAGAGATCTAGGTTCAAATCCTGCTTCTGATGCCTTCTGTCTTTTTTTTTTTTTTTTTTTGGTTAGACAATGGGGTTAAGTCACTTGCCCAGGGTCACACAGTAAGTGTGTGATGTGTCTGAGGCTGGATTTGAACTCAGGTCCACCTGAATCCAGGGCCAGTGCTCTATACTCTGTGCCACCTCATTGCCCCTGATGCCTCCTTTACTATCTGTGTGATCTCCTGTAGATTTCACATCTTTCAAATGAGAAAATGAGACTAGAAGATCTTTGACACCCTCCTATGTCCTAGAAGGGACATCTGTACAATTATAGGTTGGCCCAAGATGGCCTCTTGGGTTCTTTGGAGTCAGGAAAGCATTGAGCGTGGAATCAGAAAGTCTTGCCACTTAGTAGCTGTGTGACTCTGGGCGTGTTACTTAACCCCTGTTTCCTTAACCGTAGGATTGGATAATCACAGCACCTACCACACAAGGTGGTTGTGAAGATCAGTTGATTATATTCATAAATATAAAATTTGTGAAGCACTTAGCACAGTGCCTGGCACATAATGTAGTTGGTGCTTAAGAAATACTTGTTTCATTCTTTCCAACTCTGAGATTCTCCTTTGGGGAAAGCAGAATTGCCAATAAAGATCAGGAGCCATTTCAGGGTTCCTTTCCTGACATTAACCCAAAGTCATACCAGTATGCCACCCTCTCCCCCCAAAAAGGCCCTTAATTCTTTCATTGTACTCCCGGTAGGGTGAATAACCTCCCCATTCTGATTGCCGCTGACAACCAGATGTTTATTTTGTTAACTGTGGCCTGGATGCTGGCTAAATTTGTTGACCAGGGTAGATTTAGAATGTACGTTGGCTACTTAATGTTTTGTAAAATGGAGTGAATAGACAGAGACTTATGGAAACATGAGACTATTATCTATCAAGTATTATATATCAAATGAGATAATATTTGTATAAAGCACTCAGCACAGTGCCTGGTACACAGTAGGTACTATATAAATACTTATTCTTTTCCCATGAAACCTTGCCCCTGTGGTTTGGAAGATAGTCACATATGTCAAGTTGAGTGGAGGGCCCTTTTTTCCCCTTACACTTGGAGACATCAGGTCGATGCAGGGAATATCTCCAGCTGGCAAGTGGCCCTTAATGCCTCGAAGAGTAGAAAAGAGTACAAACTCTGAGCCAGTCAAAAGTCTGATCCTTGTGGCCACTCATGGAGAGGGAACCATGACCCTCCAGCAGCCCAAACTAGCCCCTAGGAAAGCTAGATCAACTGCCTAGGGCTGTGTGCTTTCAGAAGGTTATGTGATGGTAAACTACACCTAGAAAGCTTTTGAGGAATGCAGATTTGTTTCTCTCAAGCTCACACCACTCTAGGCACATGGGTCCAAAACCTTAGCTAGACCAGCCACTATAAAATCGGTGGTTCTGCTTGATGGTGAGGAACAAGCCAGGAAATCTTACAGATTCCTGGGATTTAGAGCTGGGAAGGACCTTCAAGATCATCTAAGTCAACCCTTTCTTCTTTCAGATAGGCAAACTGTTCAAGAATTATTTATTAAGGAATACAGGACTAGAAGCTTCTTCCCCTCGACAAAAAGAAAAAAAAAAAGT